AGACTGACAAGTCTACATGTAATAGTAGCCAATGTGATCTTTAAAGAAATTTAACTTCTAAATGCAATAGAAACTACACTATAGCTTGCATAAAATCGACGTTTTTTATATTAATCGAATAAGTTTAAGGAAAAGACCTCGCCTAAATCACGAAATTAGCGGTGATAGCAATTCCATTTCGCCCAAAAAGTATTTCGACATATTTTGCTAGACCATCGTGTCTACAATCGCGACCTCAGAATCGCCAGATGGAAGAGAATGTCACGAAAGTACCACAAATTGAAAGTATGTGTGTAAATTATGCTGTCATTTTAACATAGAGATGCAAAACATTCAGTTATAATCACTGAACCAATTTTGTAAAGATATGTCTAACCATTTCTTGCCGACTTACTAATCGCAGCATTTAAAACGCTCATTAATCTTTAAATTTAAAAAAAAAACTCGTTGTGACACATTGACTACATTCGGCAGATCAATTATAACACGCAAAACAAAATGAACAAAACAAATGACTAGGAATATAGTATATCATGGAAAGAAAGTAGAAAACAAATAACGGCAGATAAGCGTTAATAATATTAATTTAGGGCTTTATTTAGGTTTAATTAACCTAATATTTTAAAAGTAAAACTGGTTTACAAGAGTACGTGTTAGCACATCTAAGGCCTACTACGGTTTATTTGAATCAAATATTACCAAATTTGATTTAGTAGAAAGCTCAAACCCCTTTCTAAACAACATTTTGGTGTTTTCAATATAAAGATATTTTGAAGTTATGCGTGTTTCTCCATACCCATACCTCGGGGGAAGGTGATGCTTAGAAGCGCTCCGTAGTTGAAATAGATTTGTAATATTGGATACATTAACATAAATAATCTTCAACAGAAAAATATTGAATTTCACAAAAAAAAAAAAAAAAAACAGGGGTTACTGACTATCAGCATACACGTTTCAAGGATATTTCCGCCTGCTCTGTGCTCCCCACGTAATGTGGTAAACCCAGCGGTTATGTTTGCACCGTTTGCGGAGCCATTTTGTACTCTGAGGTAAACGGGATGCTGTATACGAGACTCAGACTCTAATAATATAATTTTATTAAAGTAAATAATGATATTAAATTTAAGAAAATATTTAGTATTAAAAAGCTATTATTTTTTAAAAGTCTTATTTAAAATTCTATCTGCTATTGCAAAGCGCATTCAACAGTACCGAGAAGAGAGTGACAATTAGAAAACGTAAATAATTGTGAGTGCGTTATAATACAAATTATGTATTCTTATTCCTTGATTTGATTTAAATCAACGAAATATTTTTTTGTATCTCAATATTTTGCCAAACTCTGTTTTGCTAAAGTTTACCTGAGAATTGCATTTTTTCTTCAGAAACTGAGTGGGCATGTGAGGTAAGGTAAGATCAAGAATAAATCATTTAAATATCGCATTTCTCTGTAAAACAAATGTCACATTACGGGACAATGTAGACATTTATACTTAGGTTATTAACTCGGGAGAAAAATGTTATCTCAAATGATCTTTATCAATTATTTTATGCGTTCCTTCAAGGAGATGTGCTCATTTCGAGAGAACGAGTGACACTCATTGTGCCCTCGAAATTTTGTGTCGGCAGTGAGGTCGATTATTTCAAGAGAAACGGCGCGTCCCTGCTTCTTAATGAGCAAGCGATGGAAACGAGAGAAAGCGTACCTTTCTTGTTGTCTCTAGCTCCACAATCGAATAAGCAAATGAAGGACTAATGAGGATGAAGTGCGGTCTGCTCGGAAGAAGTGTCACTTTGATGTTCTCGTGAATATTAACTTCTCAAGCTTTTTATTGCACGATCTATAACATTAATCTTTGCGAAATCCTTAAAATATTGGTTTATTTACGAATGTAAATAAATATTTTTTAAAAATAATAACGAGCATGAATGTTATTTAATACCTTTGAGGAAACATAATATAATTTCACATAAAATACATCAACGCAATACCTGCGAGTAAACAGACATGCAAAACCTGTAATAAAAAATTACTTTTTTCTCATTGAAAATTTATAAGTACTTCAAAAAGTACTAGACATAGACAAGCGTTATACACATCCAGTGATACCGAAAGTGTCTTTATGGAATGTCAGATACAAATTGTGGTCTAAAGGATTGAGATTCCATACGTTGTAAACTTTTTGTGAATTCGGAAGGTGAGTGCTGTACCAAGAGTCCTCCGAACATTGCAACGAGCCATTGCATGTTGTTGGAGTATGTCATTGATCCAAAAGCGCAACTATTTTTTGGCACCGAATTAATATGTACATAACGTTCAATTCACTGAGTATCAATTATTTTAATAGCAAAACGTGCTAATGCTGCGTTGAATTTTTGAAGGGCTCTGCTCATTGAATTGCGTTTAAACCACTATAGGAAGTCATGAGACGTTCAGTTATGAAAATTACCAACAACATGTGAATTGCGAACATAAATTTTCGAAACAGGTTCACAATGATACGGTAATTTGTACGGCATTTATAAAAGTACTGTGATCGACATTTTCACGCCACCAATCTATTTCCAAAGTTACTAGCATAAATCATCCTCAAACAAGTCCGTGCTCCGATCGCTAAGATTTGCCGTTTCGTAAACCATTTCTGTATTTATTGTATTTGTATCGCTAATCCATGTGGATAAATTCAGAACTTTTTTAAAGCCACTGTTTAATTAAGTACTAGAAATGCATAATAGTACAATCGATCGAACCAAATCAAGTAGTCTATTGTGGCGTAAAATGGTTGAAAATTTTCCTTTGGATGCACACAAAGTTTTTCGTTAATTGCGGAGACCGAAGGCCGGAGCCTTGCCGTTGACTTGTAAATGCGGGAGGAAAGTGAGACAATAGACTTATCAAAATACGTTAAGTAGCTTTTCAACTCTACTCGGCGCGACAGCCACCGAACGGGCCATGGCTACCAGCAGAGTCCCGGTTCGCGGCCTTGTGTGAAGGGCTACGTGCGCTTAGCACCAAAACATTCCTTATCGGTATTCTGGATTTCTCATACATACAGTCCCTGGCCATACTATTAGATGCACCCTAAAGTTTCAATAAAAATCAGGTTTTTGTGACGGAAAATGTTTTTTTTATTTCTAGCGAAATACATAAGTAATAATTAAATACTTACGATACCAACAAGATATCATATGCAAAATTATGACTGTCAGTATAATACATAAACTAATTTTTTTAAAATCTATATGCACATGTGTATCTTTAATACTTTGTCAGGCCATCTTATGCGGCTATTAGAGCTTTAATTCTTTTTGGCATGCTATTAATGCATGCCTGGACTGTTTCTTGCAACTTTGGATGATGGTACCAGACTTTAATTATTTTCTCAAGGAGGCGAATTTTGGTTGTTATTTCTTCCTTTGCGGTTTCCCTCTTCATGAGCTCCCAAACATTTTCTATTGGGTTCATATCTGGTGAATTTCCTGGCCGTGGTAACACAGAAACATTTTTCTCCAACAAAAATGATCGAACTGTTTAAGCAGTTGACATGGAGCCCCATCTTGAATAAAAACAAATGATTCTTCATTTGTGGTCCATTCCTGCAGTTGAGGCAGCAGTCGTTTCTCAAATACTTGCTTGTACTGGTTTTGTTTCATGATGCCCTTAACCATGTACAGACGCCCAGTGCCTTTGCCACTGATCACTCACCAAATCATTGCCTTGACTGGATGTTTCACAGTCTGGATGACACAATCAGAATGATACTTTTCACCAGGCACCTTCTCACAAATTGATGTTTGTTTGCTAGAATTTCGAAAGTGCATTGCAGTCGCTAACACAAACCTGAAATACATGTAAATGACATTAGAATTAATTTTGGTAGCCATTTATAATTATAAAAAAAGCACTAGACTAAATTTCTACTGATTTCCAGAAGTCCAAATCTTTATTCTTAAGGTTTTTAGCCCACGCAAGACGTTTTTCTTTCATACCAGCTGTTAATCTGGGTTTGTGGGCTTGTCTACCGGCTTTAAAATTCATTTGTAGTAGTGTACGCATTTCTGTTCTTTCAGATACACAGATTCCTCTACTTTTCAATTTAAATTTAATTTGTTTAGTAGTACGTTTTCATGGCAAATCTTCCTCAAACATCTCTCAGATGTTGGTGAAAATATTATCTTTTGTCCACATGTGTTCTTCCTTCGGGGGGGATAATTCTTCACCAAGAACAATTTTTTTTTAATTCACCGTATAGATTTCTTGGATACGTTCAACCTTCGAGATATCTTACGATTTGAATAATTTTCTGTGTCGACAAGAGCTTTCACTGCTGCGATCTTCCGAAAAGACATTTTTTTTGCCTTTTCCATTATTTTTTTTCAAAACTATCAGTTTTTCGTATACAACAATTCACAATTTTTAAATAAACACGGCTACAACTATTTCACAAACTAATAAATGAAAATAAACTATCTTCATGCTACAAGACACTACTCATGTCACCTCTTTTTCTACTCTTGTAATTTGTGCGACTAAGCAACAATGAGGTGTCACAACCATGGAACATAATGACAAATAATGTGTTAATTATTAGAAAAAGAAGCTTTGTTTTTATTGATTGATTCGCAACAATGCCAATTGTAATGTGCCGCAGATACTTCAAAACTTAACATTTTGTTAAAAATTTTGAGTGCAACTAATAATATGGCCAGGGAGTGTATACTGGGATACAGCAAGACAAACGCACACTACAATCTTGCCTAACAGAGAATTGAACCCGGGGTCGTGTCATGGAAAGCGAGATCTCTGACCATTGAGCTAAAGCGCGAGGGCAGCTTTTCAACCAGCAAACTTAAGCTATCTTAATCCGTACAACGTTTTGAATCACCCCATCTATACAACAAATCCCACACTTCAATTTATTCATTTGCTTTCGATTCTTCTCAAAAACAAACCAACAAATAATGGTCGCAACAAGTGAACCGCGTGGAGCTGCACGCACCTCGTTGTAGTAGGGGCAGTTGGTGCTCCTCCTTGATCGCTGGTGTATCGCTTCTGCCGCCCACCCTGCCGCACACCACG